GGTGAATGTGTCCTATATAATAATCAGCCACTTTCACGTGAGCCTCAGAAGGGGCAGCTATCGAATGGCCAAAGTTACCATCCCTGTGCAAAGGAAGCCTGAGAAGGGGCAGAGAGACCCTGACCAGAAATACTCTCCTGCTTCAAAGCCCTGAAGACCAAGACCCTGAGAAATCCCAGATGAGTTGTTCGAGGCCCTCACTTGCTCATAAGTGGATCTGGTTGGTCTCAGCCCTCCCACCTGGGCAGCCCTTCCTGTGAAAGTCTCCCTTCTGGGGTCATCTGCTGGGATTTCATTGGTGTCAGCCCTCAGTAACAACCTTTAAGGACCAAACTAAATATCCAGCAATTCTGAGCAGCCACAGGCCCCGTCCTGTCCACCCCACCCTACACCATGGTCGGGACCCACCCAGTCTGAGCCCCACATCCTGCCTCATGATGTGGGAGGCTGCCCTGTAAGAGACTACTCTTAGGTCTCCTGGGAAGGGGAGGTGGATCTGGTCGCTGGGGGGGCAAGTTCCCCTATGTGGCACAAGGCCATCTGGGCCTGATGTAATGAAGGTTTCCTTAGCAAAGACATCATAAATAAAGGGCGGGGCAGCACATTCCTGGTTGCCAAGGCTCAAAGGCAAGTGGCTGCCAGAAGGGTTCTACCCCACGGACAGAGCAGCTGGACTCCACTGATCTGGGTGACTATGTCCCACTCCTTCTAGTCCACCCCCGTCATGTTCCTGTGGTGCCCCTGGGTTCCTGCATTCCCCACCTGGCAGCAGTTGTGGTTCCTCGTCCTGGTGGCCCTGCTTCCAGAAAGGCACTGGGTCCTGCTGACCACCAAGCCACAGGTGTCCACTGAGCCCTGGTCTTTGCTTAATCTCCTGCCAGAATTGCCCGATCTGATCCCCTTACTCCACAGCTATAGCCAGAGGGCTTTGATGACCTAGTGTCTTCTGCTCCCTCCCAGGAGTTGGCCCCACTTCTAGAATCCTCTGAACAAATTGGACTTTCTCAGGTCCAGCCAGAGGCCCAAACTCGAAATCCAAAGCCTGCAAAGCTCCAGTCCTCTTTACTTCAGCAAGAAGTCAAAGATCAACTCTCACAGCGCCCCCAAGGAAGCTGAACCTTCTAGAACCCAGCAGGATGCCCACGCTCAGTATGAACTTGGTACTGAGGAGAATATAGGTCAGCTGTTGATGCACCAGTAGGCAAATGCGCCATCTGGAAGTAGGAGTGAAGCTCATCATTCAAACATGGCATTTGTCATAGTGAGACCTGTGGACATGAAGGTTACCAAATCTATAGAGGCAGGGAACAAGCTACAACCTACTTCAAGCCAACTGCAGACCCTGACCTAACCCCCAGAAAGTCCTGAGGAGGAGGAACCCTCCTCAACCCAACAAGAAGTCCTGGCTCAGACTCCAGAGCTCTCTGAAGAAATGGAAATTTCCTCAACCCACCAAGAAGCCCCAGCTCAGCCTCTAGGCCCTCTTGTGGAGGCTGAACTTTCTGTCACTAAGACAAAGCCAGCTCAACCTTCTGAGTCTTCTAGGACAGAAGAACCTTCTGAAATCCAGTTGAAAGCCCCAGATCAGCCCTCATATTTGGAAACTGAAGAGCTGGAAACTTCTCCAACCCAGCTGAAGCAACCAACTCAGTTTTTGGAGCATGGTAAAGAAAGTGTCAACTCCACATCACCACGAAACTAAGCATCCACACTTGCCCCATGTGACGGTTAAACCTCTGAATCTGCAGGTTGCGATAACCCCAGAACCCACCACAGAGGAGGGAATCTTTCCAGCGCTCCCCGAGGCTACAGCTCAACCCTCTACTCCAGTGAATGAGGTGGAACCTTCTATAAGTCAGCAAGAGGCCCCAAGTCTGTTTTCTGAGCCCTCCAAAGGAGCTGAGCTCTTACAATTTCAGCAGGAGGCTCCAGCTACATCTTCAGAACTTGCTCAACAGGAGACCCAAGTTGGCAATCTACACACTTTTGAGGAGGGTGAACCATCTTGGACCACTCAAGAGGCTTCAGCTTGGCCTCCAGAGCTCCCTAATGAACTCATACCTCAGCCTCCAGAACTACAGGAGAAAACAGTCTCTCCTCTAGGTGATGATCAAGTTCAGCCTCCAACACTGACCCATGGCTCTGTTACTCCTGCAGAGTTGTTGTCTAGTGAGGTTGAAATTGAAAGTTCAACTGCACAGGAGGCCCCAGCTCAGTCCTCAGTGTCCCTTGAGCAGTTTGAACCTCTCGGAGACAATCAAGAGCTTACAACTCCACAGCCAAACCCTGCCATAAAGGATGAACTCTCTTCATTTGATATCAAGGTTCTAACTCCACCCACAGAGCTTGCTGGGAAACATTCCCCAGACCAGCCCCAGAGCTTACCTATGCCCCCAGGCTCCTCTGGTGTAGCAGTTTCACCAGTGCAGCAAAAGCTTGCAGCTCTGTCTTCAGTACTCCCTGAGAAGGTTACTCTTTCTCTTTTGTTGACAGAAAGAGTAGCATTTTCCCCAGCCTTCAGAGCCACCTGAGGACACAGAACCATTTTCAGTCCCCTAGGAGGAGGATGCAGCTCTACTTTCAGAGCCACCCAACAAAATGGAACCTTCTCAAGCTCAGCAGAGGACATCACCTCAGCCTGCAGAGGAGGAAGAACCATCTCCTGCACTGCCACCAGCTGCATCTCCT